TATTACCGTTACCGTAGAGAGAGAGAGAGAGAGAGAGAGAGAGAGAGAGAGAGATTAAAGATTGCGTTCACCTTAAACTTTAAATAAACTCTGAATTCTAAAACGCTACCGCGAACTTGTGAAAGAGAATTTCAGAAACGTTTGTTTAATAATATTCCCTCTTTAATCCTTGTATCTTCCTTGGAACGAAAAATACGCATGGATCGGATCGAAAATATATTCCAGATATATTCGCGATAAAAAAATCGAAAAAATGGAAGAGGAAGATTTGACGGGAATGACGGGGGGCCGCGTCTCGACGAATTCGAATTCGATTCTCGTCGCGATATTATTTCGCGGGCCGGAACGTGCCTCGGCCTGAATTGCCGAGGCTTGAGGGAGCCTCTCATCCCCGAGAAGTGCCCGTTGGGTATTTAAGAAGCATATTCCGTCCATTTGGCATTGTGCGGCGTCGAATGGACACTTTCGGTCGTTGGGCGTCGAGAGAGGAGGCTAGGCGAGAGATCGAAGGATCGAGGTATTGATCGTAAGCGGCTTGCCCTGTGGGGACTTTACCTTTGTGCTTCACCGTCGCCCATTCGCCCTGCCTCGTAAGTTCACACCTTGGCATAATCGGAGTATCGGGGAAAGCAGGACGCGGCCGACCATTAGAGGCGCGACATTTACACCGTAAGCGGACACTCTCACGCGCCCATCTTACAAAAGGGAGCGAGCATTTAACATGGCCCTGCTTCGTGTGAAACCGGAAAATAATTCTTCCTTCACACCGCGACCCTGGTTTTTAATCTAATCGAATTTTCATTGATCTAAATTTGTTCGATCTTGAAGGGAACACCAGTATTTTCCCAAAGAGAAAATTGTGTTTTGTATTTTCATGATCTCGAAAAAAGTTAAACTTTAACAAAAGAATCGGCATATTTTCTTGTTTCCTTGCTAAAAGCAATTAGATAATAATTTTCATGTTAATTTTCGTTTCCTTCACTCGTGTCGTTATTCTAACAAAAGATGGCAAAAGTGTAAGGAATTCTTTAAACTACCAACACGTAGTGCATAATTTCGAAAGTTGTTCAAAGCAACACGTAACAATTATTATCGACAATATACACACGCACACATATCTACGTACATCTATCGTACTCTTCTCGAAACCTCCATCCACGATTCAATCGATTAGAGAAATTGCACAAGGGAAAACTAGCATTTGCAACGCAGCGCTAGGTAACCGCGGAATCCTTGATTTGCCGTTTAAATCTCGGGATGGGGGAAAAAAAGCGTGTGTTTTTCTTTGCCTTCGCTTGTTGCGCTCGCGCTTAAACGAGCGTGTGCACGCGTCTCTAAGTAGTCGCGCACAGCACACCGGGAGAGTCTCGCTCTTCGCAGAGGGGAGGTGGGACTCCATAATGTGTAAGTTCATCGCGGGCGCGCTGATGCGTATGTAATCCCGTGGTGCTTACCGATACCATCGTGGGTTTTATTTTCATTATTCATTTGTTCGCCCCGTTCCCCCCATGGATGATGGCAGGGAAGCTTACACGCGTAACCCCGTGTTTTCTATGTTGGTTTAATCAGATAAAACCCCGGAACGCCAAAAATCGCCGCACGCTAAACCGAGCCGCGCCGTTCCGCTCTTTCTTCGTCAAAAAAAAAGAAGAGCGCGACCCCGATATTTTCGACACCCTTCGACACCATTCGAGCTCTCGTCGATCGTCGACTATTCGTCGATCTCATCCGTAACGTTTCTTCTTCTTTTTTTTTTTTTTTTTTTTTCTTATTCTTTTTGAAGCATAGGAAAATAAAGTTGGAGGATAACAAAAAATTTTGATGTTTTTGAATACTTATGCAAGTATTTTTGGAATATTTTGGATGGAATTGAAATGTTGGTGGGTTTTATAGCTCGGTTTTAGCATTTCTTTACGTGGAATTGAAATGCGAGTCGTAGTAGGATTGTGGAATTGAAAGTTTGGAGAATAGTAATAGAAGTTGTATATACATACAATGTGTTATGCTGGTGTTTGTTTGGTGGATTTTAATCAGATGGGTGAGAAGGAAGGATGTTAGAAAGGATGGGAAAATATTTAATTTCTTTAAAAAGTGTACAAAGTGTGCTCCACAAACCGAAGATAATTAATCATCTCACCCATAATTCTTCTTCCATTACCATAGATATACACGTATATCCCTTGGTCTTACGAACAATCGCTTATCTTGTTTGTAATCCAATCATATATGATTAATGAGACAGGAGAAGGGGCGCAGATACGCGAAAAGAAGAAGAAGGAAGAAAGAAACGAATAATCATTCGTACACCCGTTGCGAAATCTTTTGAATCAATCTAGTAGTAGCTATGGCTATTCGCTAAAAACGCGATCTTTGAAATCTTAGATTTAAAAAAATCTCTGAATAAACAAACTTCTTTTATCCTTTCGACCAAGTACTACAACGGCGCACGAGGGAATGGAATGAGAAAAGGAGAAAAAAGAAAAGAAAAAAACGAAAATGAAATTACAACCAACGAGATCCCGATCTCTCGTTGCGTCGAACCTCTTCTCTCGGCTCGAAGCCGTCGCGGCAGTTCCTTTTTTTTTTTTTTTCCCCGCGTTTCCGGCGGCCTCGGCCGTTTCAAACAGTAGGCGGAATGTCGGAGGAAACGGGAGGGAAACGAGAGGAGAAAGGAAACGGGGCGAACTATCGGAGGTACGGTAATTAGCAGGTCAGCTTAGTTAATGCAAGAGCACCGGCTTAACGAATCGTAATGGAAAGTGTGATATTTCGAAAATATTCGTTTCACCGAGTGCTAAGTAAGCCGTGCACGCGTTTGATTAACCTTCTATACGTGTATATACAACCGAGATTCGATGTCGAATAAAAAAAAAAAAAAAAGGACGAATCCATCCATCCCCCTTTTCCTTCGAATTTATCTTTCCTCTCCCCTTCGATTCCTCCAATCATTTCCGACCATCTTTGTACATAACCACTTTTCTCTCTCTCTCTCTCTCTTCTTTCTTTTTCCTCGTCGAAAATATCGGCAGGGCTATCGAGGCGTCTTAAGGGAGGATCTCGTATTTACTTGGCCGGAAACACGATATCCTCGATACACTCGGGGCTGCCCACGTGTTTTTAACGTTGACCGTTAAAATTCGCGCACGGCCTCCTCTCGCGACATCCCGTGCCTCCTCTCTCGACGCTGGTAGGCGGTGTATTATTTTTCCGCTGCCTCGCCAAATTGGCTCGCACGGATTCGATCTCGAATTACGGGGACACTCGATACTCGCCCCGAGTAAAACTTCCACCATCCTCCTACTCCGCTCCGTCCGGAATATCGAAAAAAAGAGTTCCACAATGTTCCATTGAGCGCGGATCGGTATAATCGAGGCCCGGGCCCCCGATTCTCGTCTTGTCTTTCTGCGTCGAGCCACCCGCAACGACGATTTTTCACGCGGCTCTTGTTGTTGTTGTTGTCGTTCTTGTTGTTGATGAACGCAGGCTGCGGGCGTTCCACAGAAGAGGGTGGTTTTTCTTTTTCTTCTCTCTCTCTCTCTCTCTCTTTAATCATAACGGAATTCCAATTGTTGGAAAAAATTTTTTTCCTTATCGTGGGGATCGATTATCGTGGGATCGATATTATGGGTTTAATTTGTTCGAAATGAAATACAATTTGTTTTGTTTTTTTTTTTTTTAAACGGATACGGCGAGAAGAATCGTAAAGTTTTACGAACCTTAATTATGCGTGGATAATCTTCCATTATGGATTCCATAAGTGGTGTTCTATTATAAAAAGGGAAGAGAAATGTGATCGTGCGAGTCTGCTTATCCACTCCAGTGGCAATTATTTTTGAATAAACCTGTTTTAATATCATCGTAATTACGATACCAACTATCATTTTTCACTCGAAAAAATTGCAAATATAAATTACTATCTCTTGCGATTTCTTCGTATTTTACTCTTCTTCGTATCTCTTCAAAATACTCAATTATATTCATGGTAAACACGAATATCAAATATATATATATATATATGTATAATACTCGATATTTTTAAATTTACTTACTTACTTACCCACTTACTTGCAAGTGTGAATGAAAATTACAATTTTGACAGTGTCAACAATGTTGACAATGTTAAAATCGATGACACACGTCGATGGCGTAATACGCTCCTTCCATATGGAAGACTCTCGGTCCGAGGTCGTAACCCAATAGGCTTCCCGTAGGAAGATCATACTTGGGTACAAAAGCTGATCGCTACATCGCACGCGATCACGATGCACGTCATGGAAACTGACGATCTTCATAGCACCATTTGTTCGTTCGTCCTCCGCTTCGTCAATATTCGCACTCCCTTTTGGAACAAAGTGCACGTCTCGAGCACAAACGATTGGAGCCTTGATACATAATTCGCGCAACGAAACGTATCGATCGTCGCTTTTCCTTCTCTTTCGAAATCGATTTTTGAAGATTTTGAAATCGGACATTTGAAGAAGACAAATTATGCAATCTCCGATTAAATAGAATAGTGGTAATAATTGTAATATCTGTAAATCAAAAGTTTCTTACACGTTTCTTCGAATCTTTTTCATCTTTGCTCCTTACAATAATAATAATAATAATAATAATAATAAAATAATAAACAATTACTTTTCACTATTGACTCCAACCTGGACGCATATCGATTTTTCCCAAACCTATTCTCCGACTGGTCGCAAAGAGAAGTGGTCTCGTAACATTTCAATTAATTCTTGATCGAATGAAGAAAAGAAGAAAAGGGGAAGAAAGCGGTGCACACACCGCGAATTCGTCGGTGCGTGGAATCGTGCTCCACCATGCGGCGGATCTTTCAGAGGAAATGAGCCATCGACCGCTTTGTATCTATTCTCTTTTGTGGCGCGGACATTTCGTTTCGCAATCGATGAGAAGAGCCAGTTAGTAAAGGGTTTCGAAAAATACACGACGGCCGATACATGCCGACAAAAAGACGTTTTATTCGATTCAAAGAAAAGAGGCCCCCACATTGTGTTGGCTCGCGCACTCACAGGCGATGCCCGAGCACTCGAGAGGTTGCTACGCTGTTTCGAAGGGATGCACTAGAATCGGGTTGTAACGTTGCCTCCTCTATTTACGCCTCGTTTTTCCGCGTTTTCGACGCGTGGCGATTCGACACAAAGCCTATTGATGCTCACCCGCTGTACAATGTTACTCGTTAAATCTATTTATATATGAAGACATCGTTAATTTCTCGTCATTTTGTTGTGCGTTATATCGCGATAAAAAGAAAAAGTATTTATTGAAAATTAGCCGTACAGGATGTTTCAAAAGATTGAAGATGTGTTTTAACGATCGATGAAGTTGATTGAGGGGGGCGAGAGCAATGGGAGGCGTTAATCGATAAAGGTTCGCGAACTTTCTCGCGAGATATCGATATCTGGAAAGTTCAAAATGTCAGTGACACGTGCGATTCCATACTTCGACGCCTCCCAATTGATATCTTACCGTGGATTAGATTAAGACTTCTGAAAAAAATTCTTCTATGATGAATCGTGAATATATCAATCATTTTAATTTTTTCAAAAAATGTATCGTTTCCCTTCTTGAAAAAGAATAATTCGTACGTTCGACTCGAAACAAGTATGATATGGCTTCTAATTTCGAAACACACTGTACGTTAATTTTTACGAAATTTATAACTCGATGGAATATTTCGATTGATAATTATAAAATTAGATCTAGTTCTTAAATATCGATTTGTTTCTCCGTCGAGAAACTGTATCGCTTGTTCTAATCGTAATACATTTCTAACATTTCGCCTCACTTATATTCGTTCACTCCTCATTTCGTTCGACCGTCTCACCGACCGCCAGAATTCTCACCAAATCGTTCGAGGATTCGTCGACATTCGTATAGGTGACCGTGTCTCGATTCTTCCGCCTAATGTCCCAGTGGCCGAGCGGTCGTCTCAACACGAAGAAGCCGGTCGCTAAGATAATTGCAACGACCAATATAAAAATACAAGCCCACAATACTGGATGATATATCGATGATTCGTTCTCACATTCGAGTTCGTAACTTGGTATCGTGCTTAGTTGTTTGTTGGCGTGTTGAATAGGAGTAATGCACCTGATGGAAGAAAATTTAAAAATTATTTAAAAATTTTTCAACAAATTAAGTTAAAACTCTTTGAATATTAAAAATTGCATAATAAATTTGTTAAATATTATGTTAAAATTATTTTAAAAAATTTTCAATTATATTAATATATTGGAACTTTAATAATTGAAATAATTATAGTATTGGCAGAGACATCTGTGCTAAGTTCATCGAAACATTTGGTTATCGAGTATTATTGAATGAAAATTAATTCTCCGTATCGGAGAATTTTTACTTACTTAATGTCTCGACTTGTTGTGTTCAATATATTAAGCCACTGCATTTTACAGTCGCAGTTCCAAAAATTATTCTCCAAGTTCAAAATTGGTGTTCTCCTTATTATCGGCATGAGGTTATATTCCAACGTTTTCAAACTACAATCGGCCACCGAGAGGCGTTGCAGTCGCGGCAGAAGACGGTCGTTATATGGGAACATTCTTAAAAACATTAATTTTTTCGATCCGTCTAAAGATAGTATTTCTAAACTCGTTAAGTTTTCAAAATCATTAAGAATTAATTCTTTTAGTTGTTTCATGTTATTCAATTTTAGTTCTCGTAGTCTCGGTAAATAAACACCTTGTAATCGTGATATTTGAGTGTTGGATAAATCGAGTTCTTCCAAATTGACTGGTAGTAATGGGATCACGCAGATAGGATTTTGCGATAAATCTAAACTGGATAAGTTATTTAGCGTTTTGAAAAAATCCCACGTAAAATGAAATGACGAGACATTTCTTAAATTCAAATGTCGTAACGCCGTCAAATTCCAGAAGGCGTTTTCATGAATTCCATCATTGATTGGATTGTTCGCTAACGAAAGATATTCTAAAACCTGAAAAATGTAAGTCGTTTATAATATATTTTCTTTACTGGTATTTCATAGAAATATGAAGTAGTTACTTTGAAATGTGCCAACATAGTTTCGTTAACGACTGACAATTTGTTCCATGAGAGATCGAGTGTTTTGAGCTTCGGCATTCGGTCGTTCAAGGCGTTGTCATCGATGTATTCAAGTCTGTTGTGACTGACGTTTAACGCTTGCAAATTATATTCATCTTTACAAAGGAAAAAGAATCGTTGAAGATGATTTTGAGACAAATCCAGTGTTCTTAAGTTCTCAAGATTAGTGGAACAATCAAGAAAACTGTCAAATTCATTATTTCGAAGGATAAGATCGGTAACATCTTGCAGATTGATCGTTGATTGAATTTTCATGAAAAACACTTCTTTCTTCAAGCCACGATTGGACAGGTCCACCTAAAATAAGAAGAAAAAGAAAAAATTAAAATTTGGAAAAACGTTCTACATTTACTACATTTATTAAATCATCATGTGTTATTTCTTCCGATTATGAAAGGCGCGAAAAGACAAATCCCCGCCATGACATCAAGTAGTAAGTGCCAATTTAAAATTTCAAATCGCGATATATTACGCGCTGTATCATATTATATATTATACGATATAATACATTAAAAAAAAATCACATGCATTAACGATAAATTGTAATCTAAATTATTATAATTATTATCAAATAGTTATTAAATCGTTATTCGTGTCAAATACAAATATTATAAATACGAAATTAAAAATGCATGCAAGACAATGCATGCGTAATGATATACGTAAACAAATGATAACGCGTCAAAGGATAATTTTTTTGTTACATGTTTAAAAAAAATTATGTCACCAACG